TCGAGCTGCTGGGCTCTGGCGATCCTTCCGCCTCAGCCTTCCAAGTAGCTGGAACTACAGGCGCGTACCACGCCCGGCTAATTTTTTATTTATTGTAGAGATGAGGTCTCGCCAAGTTGCCCAGGTGGGTCTCAAACCCGCGGTCTCAGGCAATCCACTCACCTCAGCCTCCCAAAGCACTGGGATTACAGGCTGAGTCACTGAGCCCGGTTTGTTTTATTCTTTAAAGAGATTGGTATGATGGATTTTTTTTCAAAAAATTAAATGTGGTGCTTCTATTTTTAAAAATTAAGAAAACAATTGCAATGATGAAGACAAAAGAACAATTTAAGCCCAAGATGGCCCAGCAAGTGGGGGTGGACACAAGTGGGAGTCCTGGGATGGTGTCACGTGAGGAACTTGTTTCTACCAGGGAGAGGGGCCAGGGACACCTGAGTTCCCCAGACCACTTCCCTCCCCAGACACTCCCAGGCCTGCTGTGCCTCCTGGTGGTGGTGGGGGCACAAAGCACTATCTCTGTTTCTAATCCCCGTCTTCGCCCCTGGGTCTCCTGCAGTAAGGTCCTCAAAATGTGCTATTTCTTGTAGGCTGGAGACAGGTGTGTGCCCATGATCCACCTAAAATCCAAAGTGGGAGCATCTCTGAGGTTGTGGAGCGGCCCCCACACAGGGGTAGAAGAAACTCAGGACATGCAGAGACCCTGAGCCTAGGGCTGGAACTGAGCTGGAGAGCCTGGGCCCTGGTATTTATTTGATAAGGGATGGGGGGATTGGGTCTTGTTAGGCCAGGCGCTGTGCTGTGAAGTTGAGATTGTCAGATTTTTGGAAACAGGTTGAGGGGTGGGGCTCACAGTGCAGGTAGGCTCTGTTCATTCTTGTTGGACTTGGCACTCAGGGCTCGGAATTCAAATCTGTGAGGGAGGAAGGGATAGAGGGAGGGAGGGAAGGAGGAAAGGATGAGAGCCACGCACAGATACGGGTGTGCAACACATCCACATGCCACACAGGCATGTGTGTGCACAACGTACACACACTCCCCACATGCTCCTATATGCATGTTCACGCTCACTGCACATGCACACCTCATATCCTAGACACACCATGCACCCTCCTACACACTCAGACCCTCCACCAGCTGGGCCTGGGTGCTGAGCCTGGTGGGAGTTGAACCCATGTCCCATGGCAACCTCAGCAACAGATTCCTTGGTTCAGAATAGGCTTGTCCCTGATAGGAATTCCTGGGACTGGTGCCCCGAATGCTGCCCTCCAGGGTGTCCTGGGGACAAATTGAGGGTTTGGGGACAGGTGGCAGTAGTGGTCCTAGCTGGAGCCTAGCTCCTGTGTTCTAGGCCATAGCCAGCTGGGATCCTGAGGGGGAAATGGCTCTTTGGGACACCCCCCCCACTCTCTTGGGTGGTGAGGCTGAACTCAGCCTGGAAAGGAGGGTCCAGCTTGAATCTGGGTACTCCACTGAAGGCTCCCTCCTCTCCAAGTAGACTGCCCTGAACCTGGGCACAGGTCTTTTACCTGCTGGAGCTTCTGGAACCGACGGCGCCTGTGCCAGCACAGCAGGCTGAGCCCAGCGACTAACAGGACCAGGAAGGTGACCACCAAGGCCACCCATGCTTTGGGCGTAGACCTGGCCTGAGGCAGAGCATGGTAGACATCTAGGCATGAAGGAGGCAGTTCAGGAGTGGACAGGTGGGTGGGTGGGTACTGTTTCACCACCCACCATTGACTCCTGATCCTCCACCCTCTTCTGTGTGCACCCCCCAGGGGACAACCTGAAAGCATTGGGGGAGGGGGCATGGGAGAGCTAAGGAGGGGTGGAGGTGCCCAGGAGGATTGGAGGAGACCCAGTGCACTGGTATCTGAGGGCTGCAATGAAAATATCTACCTGGCGGTGCTTCAGTTTCAAAGTGTCTCGGGTCTCCCCCTTTCTTTGAGTCTTGGGGCTCTGCGGAGGAGATTCGGGTAGGGTAGGGGCCAGGCCTAACACAGCCCCCGTCCCAGAGGCCAGTTCACTGGAGTCCAGGAGGTCTGGCTGGACTCCCCTCTAGGTTCTGGCTCCCAGCCCCTCCCATGGGGGGTGGGGAGCAATGTTGAACCCAGCTCTGGTGAGGTTGGTGCATCTGACAGATCTGACAGTGGTGGGGGCAGGAGGGGGCGATGGAGGCCTCTGAGTGTTGTGGGACAGAAAAGGGTGGAGCAGGTTTTAGGACTAGGTGGCCAGTGGCCTGTGCAGTGGGTAGCTGGGACATAAGGGGGCCGGAGGTTCTCTGCTGATGGCTTCCACTTTCTGGATGAAATCAATTAAGTAGCTGCGGGGTTGTAGGCTCAGAGTGGGGCAGGGAGTCGCACACAGAAGGAACAGTGGGTGGGGCGAGGCCTGGGTCCGGGGGTGCTGGTGGCCATGACTTTGTTGGGGGGCTGAGGCAGTATAGGGCGATGAGCACCCCTAGAGAAAGAGGAAGGGTGGCGAGGACAGGAGGGGGGTCAGAGCCCAGGTATTGTCTGGGCAAGCTGGTCCCTTGTGAAGGTAGACAGTGTCCAGGGCAAGGTAACAAGCATGGGAGATACTGGACAGGCCCATGGTGGCCCGGGAGGTATTGGAACTGGAGGGCCCTCGCTGTGGTTACCAAGGGTCATGCAGGGCTGGTTGGGGAGGTGACCTTGAGCCTGAGGTTTCTGGGTAATCCCAGTAAAGCAGGAGCAGAAGCTTACAAACCAGCACTGGGGGTCTGGAGGGAGCCTCTTAGAGCAGTGTTTGAGTAGAAGTTCACCCCACAACCATGTGCAGGAGGCTTGGGGTGGTGAGAGGAGGAGGGTGCATGGCCTCGGCTGCCTGCTGCCCACTCTGGGTCTGGGCTTCCTCTCTAGGCCTGGGTCCCCTCCCTGGGCAGTGCAGTTCCCCACCCTCCACAGAGAGACCATGTTCCTTTGAGGAATAGAGAGCTTTTGTTTTGTTTTGTGTCCTTTGTGGGATTCTAGACCTGTGCTTTGGGGTCTCCTGCCTCAGTGGTCCCATCCTTCTGAGAGTTTCATCCCTCTAGGGTCTCATCCCTCTGAGTCTGAGTTCCCTGGGCCTCTCCCTTGTCCTGGGCACTTCATCCCTGACTGTTGCCCCCCAGGAATCAAGATGTCTTCCCCAATTCTTCCCATGCCAATCTCTTGGCCCACCCCGCTCATGCCCCCTCCTCCTGCTCCCCTCCTTTCCCTGATCAGCCTCCTCCTTGCCTCTTAGACACTCCCTCACCTGAAACCTTCAGTGTGAAATTTTTGTTGTTTCTCTGGCGTCCTTTGAGGTGCCACGTGTAAAGCCCTTCATGGGTATCCTGGGCTTCTTCAATCACCATCTGGGCCATGCTTTCTTGAACCCAGAGCTGATAGCCCTCTGGGGAGCGAAAGTCTCCTGGGGGCTTTTCCTCAAAGATGATCTTTCTCTCCCCGTGGGCACGCAGGCTGATGGTGATGCTGGAGAAGGTGTTGGACATGTTGCAGGACATCACGATGCGACTGCCTCTGGGCTCGGAAACATTGTTGTTGCTGCAGTTTGGGCTGTCCCAGACTGTGGCGCCAAGGGAACAGGTCATACATATGACTCAAGACTGGCCTCAGGGACATTGGCTGACTGTTGGGCCCAGAACCAGTGCAGCAGCAAGTGAAAGGGCCTCTAAGGGACATTTATATCTTGTGAGGGAAGAATAAAATGGAAACAAAAATGGAGGGAGGTTGTACAGTAAGTAGATGCGTGTGTGTGTGCGCTCACGCCTGTGTCTTTGCTCTTGGCTGAAAACATTTCCTACAATTCCCTCCTCTGTAGTTTCCACTAGGGTGAGCTGGAGAGAGACCCATGGGGTGTGACAGGCAGCCGTGTTGCAGCTCAGGTGTGTGGCTGCTGATCTGCTGAATCACCTTGTTGGTGTGAAGCAGTGGCTGCCATACCTCCCACAATCTCCCTTCAGCTTCTCCACAGCCTGGGCCAGGTATGTCAGAGGCAAGAAGAACAGACATTGATTCCAGGCTGTCCTTGTGGCGTCCAGGCTGTCCTTGTGGCGTCCAGCCTGCTTATGCCCTCCAACCTCCCTTTCCCCTCCCGCCTGACCACTCAGTTCCAGTCCAGCTCTACTGTTGAGGGAGGTCAAGTCTCTGTAACAAATCAATCAATAGATCAGTCTCAGCCAGGGATGGTGGCTCACAGCAATAATCCCAGCACTTTGGGAGGCTGAGGCAGGAGGACTGCTTGAGCCCAGAAGTTTGAGACTGGCCTGGGCAACATAGTGAGATCTCATCTTTTTTTTTTTTGAGTTGGAGTTTCACTCTGTTGCCCAGACTGGGGTGCAGTGGCACGCTCCTGACCACCATAGCCTTGGCCTGCTGGGCTCTGGTGATCTTTCTGCCTCAGACTTCCAAGTAGCCAGAACTACAGACGTGCGCTACCACGCCCTGCCAATTTTTGATTTATTGTAGAGACAAGGTCTCGCCAAGTTGCCTGGGCGAGACCTTGAACTCACGGGCTCAGGTAATCTACTCGCCTCGGCCTCCCAAAGTACTAGGATTACAGGCTGAGCCACCAAGCCTGGTCAAAGATCCCATCTTTACCAAAAATAAAATAAAAAAATAGCCAGGTGTGGTGGTGCATGCCTGTAGTCCCAACTATTCAGGAGGCTGAGGTGGAAGGATTGCCTGAGCCTAGGAGGTTGAGGCGGCAGTGAGCCATGATGGTGTCACTGCACTCCGGCTTGGGCAACAGAGTGAGACTCCAACTCAAAAAAAAAAAAAAAAAATTGATCAGTCTTGTACCTCTTGTGTGAACCCTGCATGGTATGGACACCTGCATCTGCATCCTTGGGAGGGCCAGGGCCTTTGCCCCGGAGAACAGCTCAAGGTGATGTGTGAGATCTGGGTAGCATGGTGCCCAGAGTAAGATAGCAGCAGAGTGTCTTGGTGGGGCTACTGTCCATGCGCCATCAGTATCCACTAGTGACTGGACAGGATGAGCTCTTGAGAGCACACAGCATGCTGGGTGGAGCCAACATTTTACCACATTTGACCACACAAAAAACAGCACAGGGGGTGCCACATGGTGGCAAGAGCCAGGGGCCTTGGTACCCATGGGAGAAGGTGGGCTTCAGGGGCCTCTAGCTTTGGCCAGACTTGAGGACAGGATGGAGCTTCCTGCCACAAGGCAGGCTGGGCAGCTCATCTGAGCATAAAGTGTCCAGGGTTCTTTGCAGGCACAACCTTGGACCATGTCCCAAGAGCAGCAAGCAGCCATCCATTGGGGATGTCCCAGGCAGAAAATCCTGAAGCCCAGGTGCCTCCCCCTGGGACTCTGATAGAATTGATTTGGGATGTGGCTAGGCCCTGACTTCTTTTGAAAACCATCAGGTGATTTTGCTGTACAGCCTGGGGTCTAGAGAACTGGGGGTAGAATGGGGAGAACTCACCAGGGTACCCAGTTCAAATGCAGACCCTATTCTGGCAGCCCCCAGGTGCTGCAGACACTACTGTCCATGGACAGACCATCCTGTGTTGCCGTCATTCCCTGGCCATGGCACAGGAGGTCAACTGATCAAGACTCTCTTTCCCTTGGAAACCTATCATGGTCTTGGGCATCCCCACAAATGCTCTGACAGGGACCACCAGCACGGTGGCAGGCACCACTGTCTCCATCCACAGTGGGTTCAGCCCAGCTCTACCCTGGGTCTACAGGGTCATGGTCATTACCTGGGGCTTGGGACCTGACTTGGCTGGAACTAGGTCTGCTCTTCCTACCCCTGACTCACTCCCACTGGGCCCATTCTCCTGGCAGAGAGGACAGGATCCCGAAACCTACTTGTATTCTCAGTACTCAGGGAGGCAGCCAGGAGAAGTATGGTCCACAGCATCCTAGGCACAGGGACGGGGAACACCAACGGGCAGGTCGACATGCTAGCAGGACTCACTGGCAGGTTTCAGGGACCCCTGGTCCTTGTCATTGGCTCTTGGGACATGCCCTGGAAAGAAAAGTCAATGGTCAGAGGCCCCCAAGGCCGCTGCAGAGGATAGCAGAAGCAACCACAGCCTGGGTGGGGGTCCGTATGATCCTCCCTGACCAGCTGTTCCTGGGATGCCAGAGCACCTGCCTGCCCTCCGGTCCCCACCCATTCCCCTCTCCTGTTAGGGTGAGTAATACTGGTCATGTGAAGCAGAAAACACACCGGGGACAGAAGCAAGAGTTGCTCCAGGCAATACTGGGAGGTAACCCTGTCTATGCCATGGAGTTCACTCTTTCAGTTTTACAATAAAACATCCAAAACCAGGCCTGAGTTGCATGTCCATAGAAATGGGGCTGTAACATGTAGAACTTTTGTCTCTGTGTCTGACCTGATACCATCCTAAGATCATCTTTCCTGTCCCCGGCCCCTCACCAAGGCATCACACAATTGTAGTTTTCCATCTGCTTGTGTGCATGTGTTGAATGTCACCACACCCCCAGAGCATAGAACTTTGTTATGCTAACCCTGGGTTATGTTATTTGTGCTTCCCCGCAAGCACTCATAATATTCCTCATGATATCCCTCCCACAATCCGTGCCTCTGGACCCACTGCTGCCCCCACTCCCTGAGCAGCATTTACTCTACATAGGTATATAATTACACTCTGCATTCCTAACAGACAGTGAGCTTTGTTTTTGTTGTTAGCAGTAGGACAGACTGTGGGACTGTTTCTAGTAGGTAGGCGGGCCTCCTTTTGCTGCCTGGCTTTGGGCCTGCAAATGTCAGGGGCCTCCTCACCTTTGTGGCAGCTCCAGGCCAGGGACACTTAGAGGTGTGGCTGACCCTGGGAAGCCCCATCACCCCTCAGCCTTGCCAGGGGTCTCCATCCACTCTGACAACAGGTCAAATGTAGAGGCAGGTCCCTGTCAAGTCTGTGTCCTATGGTTGGGGCCCGTGTTGTGTTTGTGTGGTAAAGGTCCACAGTGAGTAGAGTGTGTTTGAGCTTAGTGTGGTTGGTGCTGTTTGTCTCTGGGCTTTCCTGGTTTGATTTAGAAACTTTTTCCTATTTCTTTTTTTTTTTTTTTTTTGAGTTGGAGTCTCACTCTGTCACCCAGACTGGAGTGCAGTGGCCGTTCCTGGCTGGGCTCCGGTGATCCTGCTGGGCTCCGACGATCCTTCTGCTTCAGCCTTCCGAGTAGCCGGAATTACAGGCACGCGCTACCATGCCTGGCTGATTTTTTGATTTATTGTAGAGATAAGGTCTCGCCAAGTTGCCCAGGCAGGTCTCAAACCCGCAGACTCAGGCAATCCACTCACTTCAGCCTCCCAAAGCATGGGATTACAGGCTGAGCCACTGAGCCCGGCTCTTTTCCCTATTTCTAAGTTATCATTGCACAGAGGGTAACTTTCCCCCTCACTGTACATGTACCACATGCTCCTTGTAAAAAAACATCGAGCAACAGAGAAGTATGAAGAAGAAGGAACCACCCAACAGACGTTACCTGAGAGAAGCCCTAGATACTTGGCCTGTCTTGCTCTTGTATATACGTGTGCATGCACACACACATGTAAGCGGAATCATATTAGACATGATGCTTAATCACAGATACCTGCCTGTGTTTCCCGTTTTTTCTCTATTGTGTGTCCCCCCAAACACATCTACCCAGAACTATGAATGTGGTCCTGGTTAGAAACAGGGTCTGTGCAGATGTAATTAACTAAGATGAGGTCATAGTGGGGTAGGGTGGGCCCTAAATCCAATAGGACAGGTGTCTTTTTAAGAAGGAACTTTGGACACATATACACAGATACACAGGAGGGCCTTTAAAGGCCAAAGATTAAAGGAGCCATAAGCCAGGGAATGCTTGGAGCCTACAGAATGGAAGAGGCAAGAAGGATCCTATCCTTGAGCCCGAAGTCAGCGTGGCCTGGCAGCACCTGATTCAGAAATCCTGTCTTCCAGATTGGTGAGAGGGTCCATTTCTGCTATCTTGAGGTCATTTGTTCCTGCAACCCCAGGATGCTCACAACAGACTCCTTCCCCCTCCCTGAGCCTCATTCAGCGACCCCTGAGCCTTGCTTTCCTCCATGCAAGAAGCAGCTCACACACACAGAGGAGTGTTGGGGCTGTGTTATGACTTTCTCTGTGTCTCCCTTGCAGGTGCACCTCCCTCCCTGGAGCTCCCAAGGCAGAGTATGAGTCACTCCCTGCTGCCCTCCAGTGGACCCTCAGCTGATGCTTTGCCCCAGCGCGGGCTACAGTAGCTGTCCCTGCCCCAAGGCCCTCACCTGTCCCTTCCCGTTCTGTGGACAAATTTCCAGAAGTGGGACAGGCAAGTCTTGATGCCTTACTCTTAATTTCAGAAGCTGCCATGACTTCCTTCTCATTGGCAGTGTGGAGCCGGCCTCCTCTCTAAACATGTCCTGGAGACAAGTAACCTCTCAGGCCACATCCCTAGAGTCTATGCCCTGAGTGGGGCGGGGTCTGGAGGGCTTTCATTGTCTCACTGCCTTTGCAAGTCCTTAGCTTGTTTTTCTTGGGGATTATCTGCCTTCTTCCGGGTTTATAAGAGCTTTGTGGTTTAAAGAAGCAAACTGTCCCATAGCAGGTAAATATGTTTCCTGCTCAGTCATTTGTCCTTTGTTTCTGGAATAGACTTATCTGTTTATGTCCTCTTTGTCTGTCTTTTCATTGAAAGCATCAAGGTTTTGTTTAAATGTGTGTTTTTGTTTGTTTTTAAAAGTGTCCTTTTATTCGAGACCCGCCTGGGCAGCGAGACCTCATCTCTACAATAAATCAAAAAATCAGCCGGGCATGGTAGCGCATGCCTGTAATTCCGGCTACTCCGAAGGCTGAGGAGGAAGGATCACCGGAGCCCAGCAGGTCGAGGCTGCGGTGGCCAGACGCAGCCACTGCACTCCAGTCTGGGCGACAGAGTGAGACTCCAACTCAAAAAAAAAAAAAAAAAAAAGTGTCCTTTAAAAAATGCCTCCAGAGAATCCATGGATGGCCAAATTTGATTTTTTTTTTCCAGTTAGATTTTCACTCTGTCACCCAGGCTGGAGTGCAGTGGCTTGCTCACGGCTACTGCAGCCTTGACCTGCTGGGTTCAGATCCTTCCACCTCAGCCTTCCAAGGAGCTGGGACTATAGGCATGCGCCACCACACCTGGCTAATTCTTTAATTTATTGTAAAGATGAGGTCTCGCCATGTTGCCCAGGCTGGTCTCAAACTCCTGGCCTCGGCCAATCTTCTCCTTTCTACTTCCCAAAGTGCTGGGATTACAAGAATGAGCCACCCCGTCCAGCTGGTCTGTTTTTGTTTTTGTTTTTTTTTGAGTTGGAGTCTCACTCTGTTGCCCAGACTGGAGTGCAATGGCATGCTCCCGGCCACCGCAGCCTCGACCTGCTAGGCTCCGGCGATCCTTCCGCCTCAGCCTTCCAAGTAGCTGGAACTACAGGTGCGCGCTACCATGCCCGGCTAATTTTTTAATTTATTGTAGAGATGAGGTCTCGCCAGGTTGCCCAGGCAGGTCTCAAACCCGCGGGCTCAGGCAATCCACTCACCTTGGTCTCCCAAAGCGTGGAATTACAGGCTGAGCCACTGAGCCCGGCAGCTGATCTGTTTTTATGTTTGACTCTGGAATCTACCTTGAAGTCATTTTGTAAAGGTCATGTGACTGGATCTCCTCCAGAAGAGCAGGCTATGCCCGGACACTCATGAAGCACAGGGCCAGGTGGCTCTGAGTCTCCCTCTGGGCCAACACGGATGCCATTGGTTTTGAAGAAGCTACTTATATCCCTGGATATCTGTTTTCCCAGGTGAACACTAACATTCTCCTAGTTCAGTTTTAGGTTGGAACCAGGAGTCTGGGGCCTGGAATAGCCTGGTCCTGTCAGGTCCTGCCACACCTGTTCTGAGTCTTGAAAAAAGTCATCATCTATTGGACGTCATCTGGGGCAGCCTTTCAGTTTCGTTGCCTTCCGGCCCTTACCCATCTGCTTTGGGTAATCCCCAGGATCTGTCCGAACACCCCATCACCGTGAATACTGCTGGGAAGCTCCATGCACAGAAGGTTCTAGAAAGAGGTGTGGCAAACCCCTGTGCAGGGATTTTTCCTGGCACATTAGATAAGATCAGCTCAACTCTTTTCCTGAGATATTTTTACAAAATAAATTTCCCCAATTTGGGAGGCTTTGTCAGGACACACAAATGTCACAGCAGCACAGACGCCCCCTCCTGACCATGGCCAGGGCTCAGCTCCCTGCCTCACACCTCCCTGCTATTCTCTGCATCTGCTGAAGGGTGGCCCTGCTGGGAACTGTTCTGCCTGAGACTAGACTAGGCTATGCATCGAGCTGCACTACACAGGGCAGAGGTGGAAGACTGACCTACTCTGTTTTACCTCTGCCCTGCCCAGCCAGGTCCTGGGATCCTCCACCCAGCTTCTAGGGAAGCTTGGGAAACTCCACAGTGTTTCCAGTATTCTGTGCTCAAGGACTGTCTCATTCAGCTGTCTACAGTCCAGTCAGAGCCTGAAAACTCAGAGCCCTTGTTGGGTTTTGCACCTTCCCCTTCCTGTTCATCGTTGCCTCAGGCCTGGACACTAGGCTCTTATTGCTCTGCGAGGGCCTGATGTGGATGCAGGGAGGGCCCCAGAGGCTCAGGCTCTACTGCTCTGTCTTCCCAGGGCCCAAAGGGTCCCTCCAAGGCCCTCTTGGACTTGCCAGGGCTGTTCCTATGTTACAAGGTCCTGTCCTCAGGGACCTGGCCTTTTGGAGAGGGTTCCACTACCCTTCTGGTAATCTCTAGAGGATGACTGGGCCTCAGGGATACCACCTTGCTCCTCAGCCATCATTAGATGTGCACCTCCTGCCCAACAGTATGGAAGGATGCTCCCTGAGCGTTCTCTGCAGCCAGCCCACTCACCCAGGGCTAAAGACCAGGCTCTATGGTGAAGGCCCAGGGAAGCAGACTGGCAGGTTGTCCCTTCATAGAGTGGAGGATTCACCCCTGGGGAACCGAGGTAAGACGCTGCCAGGGTGTACTGCCGCCCGTAGGTCCAACCCTAGATTCTGCAAGCGTGGAGGGACTCTTGGCTCAATGATGCCCTGTGGCCAGAACCATCATTTTGGTGGCCTGGTGATTTGAGTCTACTCCAAGGCTAACCCTACAGATAGTGCCCCAAGCCCTGGGTGGATTCAGACAAGCATTTACTTCCTCCAGGATGTGGGTAGGAAGGGCAGTCTCCTGGGAATTTCCCACCCATGTGGGAGCATACCCCTTGCCCTTCAAACACAGTGGCAGGCTTGGGGATGGGTGGGTACAAGGAGCTCTCACCAGGGAAGCACAGTGAGGCTACCCTGGCAGGAAGAGACCCCAGAGTCAGGCAGGGTTCTCCACTCTAACCTTATCACATATTTTCCTGATGATGGCCGCTGTTTAGGGTAATCGTTTAAGTTCCCACTCCATGACTCTGGGATGTTAATTCCAAATAAAAGAATGAAGGGTCGCATGTAGGGGCTGTTCTCCTGGGCCCCGTGAGCACCTGAACCTTTGGAGGCCTTACTCTATGTGGAGACAGGCTGACACGCCTAGCAAAACCACCTCTCACCTCCTCTGCAGAGCTTACTATGACCCTGTTCTCTGACTGCTCTGGCTCCCAGCACCAGATATACGCACATACTTGCACGCATGCATGCCCAAATGCATGGTGCTAGGCAGGACCAGACAGGCAGAGATGTGCCTCTGATAGGCCCCAATGATGTCACCCCCTCTGTGTTGCCCACAGGATCTCAAATTTACTCTGCCTGAAGTAGGTGCTCAATCTGTGTGGACTAGAACCCATTGAGAGCCATTGGGGGACAAGGGTCCCTATGTAGACTCTCCACAAAGCCCCATCTGCCTCTGATGGCGGAATTTAGCTTTGCATAAGGGGAAGTGGCCATGGAGACAGAAGTGACTCCACTTGGATGCGAATCTGCCATGTTGACTTCTGATTAGTCCAGTCCTGTGAGTGCTCGATTTCGACTTCATGTACTGTCCCTAGCATAAGAACATGTACTTTTGCTTTTTTTTTTTTTTTTAAGTCTTCCAACAGTTTATTAGAAAGAATGTAGACATTTAAAAAAATCCCCACTGTCATGAACATAAATTGAGGTTTTCAGCACTGGTATAAGCTGAATCAAAAAAGAAATAAAAAATTCCAATAGTGTATTAACATTTTTTTTCACTCATTTGCCATACTGACAGTGCAAATACAAATCTGGTCTAAATGTACAGATTCTCAAGCAACAATGTACAGCTTTCTTTGTCCTCCATGCTAAGAGATGTAAAAGCTTAAGGGCCGAACAAAAACCAAATGTATAGGCTTCAAAAACCATCTAAGTTAGGGCATTCACTAGTTTTAGCTAAGATACATCTGGAACACTGACAAGTGATCAGTTACATACAATAACGTGAAGTAAATTTTTTGAAAAATAAACTTCAGTGAACAACCCTGAAGGATACACCAGAGGACCAGCAGGTTACCAGTTTCAGGTATCAGCCAATTTGTTTCAGTCACTTTTGAGTCCATGTTCTAAAACCTAAAATTCAGTACTCTTTCCCTAAGCTGAGAGTTTCCTATCATGTCAGTATCTATGTTACGAAGAAAGGCGACTTAGATGAAATGTGTTTATCACAACTGCTGCATCAATTGCCTAGGACCTCAACAGCTTCATGGAAGTCTGGGAAATGTTCATGCATAAGGTTATTGCCTTAGCTGACTTAAAATTGCCCCATACAATGGTACATTATCAACCCTTAATGAAGCCTTTAAAAAAACAAAACAGGTTGAAAAATGGGTTAAAGGAGGCAAATACAGCATCTGCCTTTAGAGCTATCAACTCAGGAATTCTCTCAATTATGAAATCTTGCAGAAGTTATTTTTCTTTCTCAAAATCCAGGTGACGACAATATCCCTTACTCCAGATCTGGCATTTTTTCCTCATCACTGCCTTGTGAGTCAACATCTGCTCCATCTACTTCTGGTAAATCTACATCCTCATCACCACCCATGTTGTTCATCATCTCAGAGAAGCGATCAAAATTAGACATGTCTTCATCTGAATCATCTTCCCAGTCTTTCCAATTATTGAAGTCCACACTAAGCCAATTAAGCTTCGCCCTTCCTTTTGTTAACCTTGGCCATGACTGGCCAGACTCTCCTTTTCGTAAACAACACAAAATCGATCTGTCCGTTCTTTTATGCTTGGAATCATTTGGATCAATACAGTGAACAAGATCAATTTCATTTAAATGTTTAAAATTATCACTTCCTCCAAGACAGCTGAACCAATCCAAGTTTGGATTTTTCAAAATTTACATTAACATCTTTACTGTCTTCAACACAAAATTCAATGAAGACATAGTCCCTTCAATCGTACCACTTTGCAGAAGCAGGCTGTATTGTGAACCGGACAGGGGGACAGGCGAGTGGGCCTCTCCGGCGGTGGCTGCTGGGGAGTCGACTCCTGTCTGGCGGCAACTCCCTATTTTTGCTTTTAAATCAAAACAATTGATGCTATTACACAAACTGTGGGCTGTGACACACTGAGCTTTCTTGCCTGTTCTGGGGGTGACCTTTCTTTTTTTTTTTTTTTTTTTGAGTTGAAGTCTC